ATAGATATTTATATTTAGTTCAGGCCAGTATATAAATAAAAAATCTTACTTTCCAAACAGAACCTTATTCCAGTATGCAGAATTGATGGCAACAAAAAATATTCTCCAAATTTGCTGAAACAAACATGTCTGGTATGTTGTTTTCATACTGGTTAATTTCCATACAAGGTGTGTATGATTTGCATATCACTAAAATCAGTTTTATTTCCATTTCACCCTGTGCACCAACTTGTTTGAAAGTGAGTTTTATTATAGACTGTATATCGAAGATGGACAAAACCAATGCAGCAATGGGTTTTGGAGTTACTTTTTTTCTTTTTTTTCTTTTTTTTTAGTTAGTAACGTTCATCTCTAGACTTAAATCACACAGATGAATATTATTTATAATTTGTGCTACATAACATACAAATAAAATGCTACACTTCTTGGATTGTCTGTAAAGCAACTGGATTAAAGAAACACAAACATGACTGAGAGGTCTGGTGCAATTACTCAGATTAGCAGAGAGTGTGGTGGTCTGCAGCTACCAGTCACTTAAAACTGTAATGTCCCTAAAAATTCACACTAAGCATAAATATAAAAATGAATTATCCATCCATTCTCTCCTGCCTATCCTTTTCAGGGTCGCTGGAGCCTATCCCAACTTTCTCGGGGCCACATTTGGTGTTAGTTAAACCATAAAGGCTGCATAAAATTTCCTGAAAATGTATTTTTTGTGACGTCAGCTTAAATTTTTTTGGATGCATGCGATGATTTAGCAGTCACCTATAGCGATAGGAAGGAATAAATGAGCTTTTTCTCTCTTTTTGTTTTGGCTGTCACCACATGTGAACCAAATCTTTAGGACTTGTGAAAGAAAATGTCACTGCAGCTGCTCTCTCTGTCTGAATGAGACCTACACCTCCACGGCACTGCCATTATACGCCGACACACCACTAATCATGTGCGGCTCTATAGGTCATCACTCCATTTTAGCTGGTGGTGAAATTTGCAGCTGACGATAAATTCACTGGGTGCTGTCAGTGGGCAGAGACATGCAGCTGTGTGCAGAGTGAGTTTCCTCTTTTTGGACCTGTTGGAGTTTAATTTCCGAGCAGGATAATGAGAGACGTTAGCTAAGCAGCCATCATGACACAGCGAGGTGTCTGGCTCTTTGTGTCTCAGTACAGAGTGATCATGTGCAAGTTCAGATTTATCCTCTCTTTTGTTCTGAGAGAGAACAAAGTCAGTCTGTTCAGTGCCTGCTGCCTCGCTGCGTCAACCCAAATTCATTGAAATCGCTATTGAATACCATTAACGTACAACAGTCTTTGGTTGGTCTTTGTAAGGTAATGATAATGAGGTTTAAATGATGCCAAATGAAATGTTGAGACCAGCCTTTTTACTACATTTGAAAATTAACAAAAGGTGCACGGTACTCGATATAAATCACCATCATGGCTAAAAAGGACACTGAACGGCGTTTTGGTTTTTTAGAGTCGGTGGGCCTTCGTGGTCGTCTCCTGAGGAGAATCGAGGCCCTCAAGGCAGAGCAGAATGGTTCAGAAGCTCCAGATGAATTCATGTGCCCAATCACCAGAGAGCTGATGAAGGATCCGGTCATTGCTGCAGGTTAGTTTACGAATTAAAAGCACTTGGTCCCTAGCGTCTTAAACTGAGCCAAAGATGGGGACAGCTTCACTATAAAGATTTTTACTTGTATTATCTCAGTGTATTTGGGATGTCACTGTATGTGTGCTCCACAGATGGCTATTCCTATGAGCGGGAATCTATTGAGAGCTGGATTAGAGGCAAGAATAAAACCAGCCCCATGACAAACCTTCCTCTGCAGACAACACTCCTCACCCCCAACAGGTCTCTGAAGATGGCTATAACGCGGTGGAAGTCGAACCAGGAGCTCAGAGTAGCTGAACATCTGATAACAAAAGCTGATTGAAGTAATTATGAATTTGTTCAGGGTGCTATTCAAGAGTCACATCTGGCGAAGTGATCAGAATCTGAGATCCCAGAGAAGTTGACTGATATTTATGCAGTAAATAACTATTATTTTTAGCTATATTTTACATAACTGTCAAATATACTTGTATTTAAAGAGAGAATCTCTAAAGCAACACTGTAACTATGCAATTTTAATGTGCCTTTAAAAAAATAAAGTGAAGTACAACTCAAAATCCACTTTTTTTTTTATACCCATTTAAATTGAATAAAATGGGTTTGCTTTCACAGCCTTATTTGGACTGGCATGACTATTAGCATATCGCTAATGGAGGCTGATGCTAGAACTTTAGATTTACTGCATTTATCTGTGCAACTGGCATCACGTGTTTTTGACTGTGACTTGAGTTAGCATTATCAAAAATCGGTCATTATTTGGCTAATATTCAGCAACCTTTATATAATCTTACTCCAGTTATTAATTACTTACTAAGTACTATAGTGTGACATTTTAAAACCTACTCTGTTACTAACAGCTTGCAGTGGTTTATTCTAGCTCAGTAATCCTGGAAGATGCCATGTAAAACTGAATGCTATTGTTTAAAAATCATCTTTGGGTCATAATGAAACTCCCACGAGGGTAAACCAATAGCTCACTCCCCCACTAACCAACCATAGACTTAGCTTCTTGGTTTCAGTGGTGAAGATGGTGCATCTTAAACATGCAATAGTTGCAATGCCCAATTTTCAGGTATCTGTATTTTACTTGACTAGTTCTTTTTCTGGCATCTTTTCACATTTACTCCCTACATTTTCTTTTTAAAAGGTAAAGATTGCTCAGTGGTATCTGATAAACTGGAAATTTAAAGCTTACATGCAAGTACTCAGTAATCAAATATTATTTTTAACACTACTATCTGTACAGAATGTCTGTACTTTTACAAGCTTAGGTCACCACAGGGAAAACAGCCACCGGAGGCCGTGGCATGACTAAAATGTATTGCAATTGTGTGCAACAAACTTAAAATCTTTTGAGTTTGAAATGGTTGTTTGGATTCAGGAGCCAGGTCTACACCCACTTGCAGTCAGTTGATGTCCTCAAAGTGATTTCAAGAAGGTGATAAAAACGGCCATCGAAAGTTAGTAGCACCCTGTTGTCAGTTTGCAACGTAGTAGGACCAAGTTGGCATTTGTGTGCGATAGGTTTGTGATCAGAGTGATCACAAGTGTGATACATCAGCAAAAATGATCAATCTTTTGCCCTCTACATGGACAAGAAACTCATATGAACAGTTTAAATTCAGAGTCCAACCAGAACCTAATTGAGCTAAAACAGGAATTCCTGCACAAATATTGACTTAGCTGTTTCAGGATGGTGATTTACTGCAAAATGACACTCACCTTGCTATTAGATAGGAAAATAACCAGATTACAAGCAACTGAGTGTTTGCAATCTGTCAGCGTTTATAAATTAGACTGCAGTTATTTGCAAACTTTTGCCAGTCTGTCTGAAGCGATTGCAATCAGTCTGAGTCAGACCATAATTGTTTGGAGATAATTGGTCTTCCACCAGGAAACCTGTGCGATCGCCTTGGTCACTCAAGTTAAGCATGCAACGCTCTCAATCTCTGAGCGACCGGCTGGTTGCCAGTTGCTTGCAATCGGCACAATTTAAGACCATCACTGGGAAACCGGCAATTTTTTTCTAGTTAGGTTCCCATCCTGTCTTTTAAAAATTCTTTTTTATTCTAACATTACATACACCAGTCCTACGCACGCATCTATGAAACACTTGATGGACACTGACACATTACAGGTAAAGCTAAGCTAATCCTAGCTCCATTTAAATACATTGCATTTCAGAGATATTTCACTAAATTTACTCCACATATAAAAAGAAATACTTTGAGAGGAATATATGAATGTTCAATTACTATTTGTGTACAATAGCTTCCAATTAGAGCACTGCTAAAATCTTACATGCTGCAATAAAAGAATGCACGAAGAAGAAACTTACCGTCCTGAAGAATCTTTTTTGCAACCGTCTTCTATACGTTATCTTTAAATTCAGTATCGTCATTCAACGCCGTACACTGGCTTATTTCCCGTGTGCAGCTTCAGTTTTTGATTAGGCTGATAAAGTGTGGAGCTTCTAAAGCAAATACCGCAGAAATTCAGGAGAGGAAAAATCTTCAGCTTCTATGGAAATAGTCTCACTGGCTCTAGTAGCTTTTAATTCTTTGGCTAATGTATGTGGAAAATGGCGTGTATAGTGCAACCAGGACAAGTTGAGCTATGTTAATCTGCTGAACTGCTTTCAACTGTGACCACATGGTAGAGTTATGTTTACACTCCTGTAGATCTTTATGACCGATGCTTCACCAAATCAGCCCAAAGGATAAAAGTGAACAGAGCAATTTTGTTTCCTCAGTGGGTCTTTATTTCTCTCTCCCATGGTAGCTATGGCAAAAATGTTCAATTACAGTATGTGATCACAGCTAATAAAGCTCACAATACTGAAAACATGGCAACAATTGCATTTAATGTACATAATAAAATAGAACTGATGGCACTGAGTCCCCAAACCATTTTTCTGCTTTTATAGACTTTTTTCCACTCTGTAATATAAACTGCAATTGAAGCATGCACTTAAATCTCAACACTGAGAATCATAAAATGTCTTAGTAGCTGTGCAAAAATAACTATATAAAATATATTGCTTTTACAATTAACCAAGCCATTGGCGCTGTAAATAAATTAAACTAGACAGCAACAACAAGCAGATACAGAAAGGAATTCAATTCAGTGTTAATGGTGATTTTATATAATGTACAAACATATTTAACAAATGCTTTTTTGTTTTTTGTTTTAGAACCTTTAACACCATTTGAACAACATTGTGCCTAAAACTCGAGATACACAAGTTGGAACTTGTCAATACACTTAACATGGACCTTCACTGAAAAGAAGGAAAAGTACATATTTATATAATATACACAACATGAGGATCTATAACGTCCTTCGTAAAACACAGGAATGCCCGTCCCTTAAACCCTCTGAACGTTTCACCGGGGACTACGTCTTCCTTCACATCCATTTATTTAGTGCACACTTTGCTCTTTTGCAAATTTAAACAGATGAATGAGAGGCTTCGGTGTCTGATTTTCAATGAAATTACAAAGAACTCAGCAAATGTGTTTGCACTTTGTCATTTTTTGGCTACTGAGTGTAAAATGACAATTTGATTCAAATTGAATTAAAAGCAATTGCAGCAAAGTGTGCAGAAAACAAAGGGTTCTCAATCATTTTTAAAGAGACCGTATTTCTTTGCTCTCAGCACCATGGACGTAAATGAATTACTCTGTAATAACATTAAGCTGTAACTGAATATGTTGTTTAAGCACTTGCTAACTGTGTAAAGTGCTCATTGCCACCGTTTTGTTGATCAGGACTGTAGAGTACATGTCTGGATACTTCCTTCAGTGCTTTGTCTCCAGCCTGGCTGAACGACGACGGACATGTCATGTAACAAAAGCTGACAGCCAGAAGCGGCAGATTGGGACGAGTAAAAATTTGGAGCCTTCTGCACGCTGCTTGGTGCCTGAATTCCCGGGAAAACAAACAGCTTGCAAACTGTACTCCTTATAAGACTTAACGTCAGACTGCACTCTGGGGTTGGTTAAAAAATATGAAACAAGTCCCTCTCACTTTAGATTTTTCCTTGTGTCTGTGCGCGTGTGCGTTATGGATTGTAAGAGAGATAAAAGACGCTTGTCTACACATTCGACTCTATAAATGATCGCTTTGGTTTCATTGAAGCTACGTGAATGGCAGGATTATCTCGAGCTAGGCCAGGCTGCTTAGGCTTACTGTCCATTAACGTGTGTGGCATAGCCAGTGCTGGCTTGGACTCTTTGTAACAGTTGGCAGCTTGGCAGAACTTCTCTGCAAATTCCTTGGCATGCATGCCATTTTGTAAGCTACTCATCGCCATACCACCCTGAGGTGGTGGAGGTTTGTGCTGCTCCTGGTATGAGCTCGCCGTTTTGCCGTCGACAGATTGCAGGCCCATTGTCGACATGTTGTGACACACGAGGCCGTCGGAGGAGTGGTTCAGCCAGCTGCGACCGATAGACTGCAGGCTCGGGTGACTCTGCAAGCCGTGGTGCTGCTGCTGTTGAATCTGCTGCTGCTGCTGTTGCTGAAAACGGGCTGTCTTGTCGGTTATGCCCATGAAGGGCCTGGGTTTGTACTCGGCTGCGGCGCTGCCCTGTTGGCTGTGCTTTGTTTTGTCAGTGATCTTGGTGCGAACGTCAGGACCTAGCTTGCCGCTGTCTGACAGGCTGCTGCTTGATGCCAGGCTGCTGGTGGAACTAGACACACGCATGCTGCTGCTGCCACCGCCTCCCTGAGATCCCGCTGCAGCGCACATCCCTTCCTTTCCAGACTCAGAGTGATTCCCCTGGAATCCAGGACCAGAGCAGGCCAAGCCATCCAAGGACGATGCGGAGTGGGCAGACAGCCTGTCTTGGCCCAGACCTTTAGAGTTGCTGCAGGATGAGTAAGAGGCTTGAGAGGAGTGGAGACTCTCACTTTCACAACTGTGACCTATGGAAGAGGAGGCAGCTGCCAGCAACATGCGGTTCCCATACATGGGCTCGTCAGCTGGGGTGGGCAGAGGGCCGATGTCGATACCTGGGCCCGGCTTCAGCATGCTGGACATGTGTCGGCTGGGTAACGGACTGGAGGGAGCGTACTGAGATTTGGCCCCTGCCGAGCGACCCCCCACGGCTCCTCCCCCGGTCTGCATGGAACTCATGTGCTGATTGGTCTTGACAATTTGGGCTTGCTTGGTTGGCTGCAGGACCAGCCCCTGTTGAGGCAGGGCATCCCGGTGCTCACGAGGGTACCTGTGAGGAGGAAGCCTGCTGGGGCCTGGGGGTGAGCTGGGGCTCAGACTCTGATTCTGGTGTCCCACACTGATGCTGGCAGCCGCTGACTCAGAGGGTAAGACTTTGTTAAAAGAGTAACTGCTCTGGGACCAGCAGGCTTCACCTGTCCTGTCATGCTGCATGGCATCCTCCTCCTCTTCCTCCTCTTCAAGAATATCTCTTTGGCCTTCTACACTCCTAGCAAGGCTGTGCTCTGAGGGGTCGTCCTGCCCTTCGTCTTGCTCCTGGTCAGACTCGTGGCCTCCTGATGCCTGGCTGGATGCAGCTGCAGCCC